ATTGAACTTTGTTAAACTCTCGTAAAATTAATCTCGCGGATTTAGTTTTGTTTTTTTTTTTTTTTTTTTTTTTTTTTATTTTTTTTTAATTTTTCTAATCACGTTTACGACATATCGCCATGGCAACTGCATAAATAATTAAGAACACGAACCTATCTTTCGAAAGGCTAGTCTGTTTTTCTCTTTCTCCTTCTTTCTGCAATTTGATTTGCTCATGTTTATGATAGGCATTCTCCTCGCCAAGGGCTCGACGCATGTAGTAATTATCGCGAAAGTTAACGGCAATAAACTAATGACAGTTCGCGAGATAGAAGGCGCCGGCTAACTAGGCTTAACGCATTCCCCGATGTTTTTATCGCGATGTAGCTAGGCGCCGCCGCCGATAAGTGACTCAATGCAAACCCTGACGGCGGCGGCAGCTCCGCCTCTGTTAAATGCCAATGAGATTCTATGTACTTCGTACTTATCGATGCGTTACGTGGCAATTTCGTGATAATACAAAGTCGCGATCACACATCGCGCGTGTCCGCTCGAGCGAAATTTTCCCGACGGTGCGAAAAATTCGAATTATGTACGCTTATCGCGTCGGTTGAAATTCCATACGGCCGGTGGCGTCTTTTTGCAAAATCCTATCTCGAGTTCGATTCTTATGTCACTACGTACTTTACTCAAGGTACGTACTTATCTCTCTCGTCGTACTTATCGATCAAGAAAGAAAAAAAACGGCGCGACCGTTACATTACACGCGAGTTTACTCGCGTTTAAGTATCGACCGGAATAGAATAATCGCTCGGTTTGTTCTGCTCGAAGAGATATATTGATGCTCAGCAGCGATTCAGACTGGGATAATCTCGCGATAACCAGCAATAAGCTATCGAGAATACTCATGCAGGCCAAATTACCGGGATCGCAAGTCACCGCGCAAGAATTATGCGCCTCGTTCATTAAACTCGTAAACGATGCCGTAATTAAACCGCAAGCCTCCGCCGTGCCTGTGTCTTCGAGAGCAGGCCGATTGACTGTTTATCTTGCGGCATCGTTAATACGTCGATCGGATGGAGATTGCGCACTGTAATCCGGCTCGACGGGGTCCTCCATTTGACGGACCTTGAATCGCATGCTCGGAAGAACGAGCGAAATGAAAGATAGCGCAAAAACGGAGGGCGAGAGAAAGTCGGCGTTGTTTTCACGTAGGTGGACGACGTGATATCAGATATAGTTCTCGGGGAATTGGTCACGCTTTCTAATAAAAATTCACTTCCCGACGCGACCAACGTCCACCGTCGCGCGACATTGATCTTCAGGTCAGCTGCCTGATAGAAAACCCGTTTGATAATCATCGAACGAACTATTGCGACAATTACGATTATTGTGCCGTATTATCATAGAACTGGTATTACGGAGGATTTGTTCGGACGATTTATCGAGGATCTAGAGGATTACAGCTACTTCTCTTCTTTTGTACAGATCCTTAATGCCAGTGCTGCTCATGAAATTTTAACTGCACTTTCGAATCTGATATTATTCATTCAATTGCCACATTGTTACTTATCGACTGTCGACTAATAAGATTTTTTGATCAGGCAATATAATCAGTAATATAATCAAATTTTTATAGTTCGAACTTATTTTATTATCTTCTTTTAGTTACGGAGAAAGTTTTAATAAAATAATAAAAATTATATACCACACAATTCAATTATGAAGCATTAACTTGTTATAAATATAATACGGATATATAAATATCCGTATATAATGATATATTTCTCTCTCCTCACTCTCACCATGATTATCTGTCCGTAAAGCTGCTTCAGGCTTTGAATAAATGCTTTACTATATAATAATATTATCATTATCATTATTATATCTTTATACTCATGGCTTTAAGAAAGTTCTAACTCGTGCATAAAATTATGGCTGGTCAATGGGACGGTCGTATTCGTCGATTAGCTTAACAGCAATCGGCCGTAAATCCGCGAGCAGTATGCGTTGCCTGAACGGTAGCGCATGATAACGGCACGCTAACGGCACTCTATTTGGTTATCGTTAATCGGCGCAAAATCGGCTGCACGTGTGTCGTCACACATTCCGGTCTATTCACAGGTACACGCACGAGTGCGATGCGCGAATCGCGAAGGAATGCAAACCGACCGAATTCCACGTATCTACCGATACCGTCTGCGATAATGCATTTGGTGACGAAACAAGAGTTACGTCCCTTTATCGCGTTCCTTTGCTCTCCTCCTCCTCCTCCTCCTCCTCCTCCTCCTCCTCCTCCTCCTCCTCCTCCTCTTCCTCCTATTCCCGATTAGGAAGGAACACCGTGATATGGAATGGTGACACGTTTCGCCAACTGGTATCCGAGCGTCTTATCAAACGAATTCCACTCCATGACTCATTGGGAATGATACTTAGATCATACGGTGTGCGTTACATCTCCACGGTGCTGTGTCGGCGCGATAATCCGAAATTATAACCGTAATCTGCTTACGATTACGCATCACGCCGGCCGCTTTCATCGATCCCCGAACCCCGTCTACTGGAAGTAAGCGAATCGAATGGATGCTAGTATTTAGATGATCAACGGAAGGAGGTTTGCCAATGATTTCATGACGAGCTCGCGATGATGGGAACACCCGGATCGATCGGCTCGCCATGGAACATCCACATCGTTGAGTCGTCGACTCATAATTATTCGTAATTATCTTCGATACGTACGTCTTGTTCCGCTCATAGTAGATCTTCTAATAATATAACTTCTAATAATATAAATGTAATAAAAAAATTCTATAGCTTATACATAATTTTTTTAAATTAGTTTCACGCGAGTAAGTGACCAGTTTTACCTCTTTAAAATCATTGCGGAAAGAGAGAACATTAAAATTATGTTTCACTTGGAATTATTAAATACCCAACTTTACTTCACTCAGAACTTTTCGTACTTTGGCATATTAATGCAAACGACTTTGTCTCAACATTCTTTACACGCCACTTTGCATACGTGCATGAGTGCGTTTGGTTGATACAGCCTCGCCCGATTAATCAGGGATTAAATATCGATAAAGCACCACCTTTTCCCAGGTTAATCTTCTCTCCATGTGTCTCTCAGAAATCACGACTAGCCCGACCTTCGGCATTTCGCTCGGAATTAATTCGCGACGAGTGAGGAAACGTGCGATCGCGGACGAACACCTCGTTTCTAGCCGAGTCACCGAGTCCGAGATCGCTCGCGGGGCCCGACATGACTCCACGGGCCCCGCAGTCGATGCCCAAGACTTTCCTCCGTATCTCATCGAATCGGTTAGCACAGTTTCGTTCGTTCGGAACAGCGCTAAACGCGCGCACGCGTGAAGTCCCGTCCATTACGGCACGTTGAGAAGGCGTGTTTCCACCGTGTGAGAGGCGTCGCGACTTCCAGACGGGGACCAATCGATGATTTCTCGAGAGTCATTAACTCACATAACGAATGATGCCAGGAGAATGTCGACGCCAATACCGCCATACTGCTATGCATGGCGCCTGTATTCCTCATTTTTATCAGTCAGAATTACGCGATTGCGGGATTATCACTAAACTAGGTAGGATTCCTATCGCCTCACCTCACAATTTATTGCTGTATAATCGACAGTTATGATAGTTCAAGTCTGGGCGTACAAGTGATAAAGAATGATGTGTAGATATATCGAAGGAAAAAAAGTTTGTTGGGTTTTTCATAAGGGAAACCGGTGTTCCTCTCCGGTAGGTCAGTAACACTCGTAAGCGATGTAATCACCGACGGAATCATCGGAAAGTGGACATGAGATAAGATATCCGATTCGCAGCATCGAGTGACGAAACATTGACGACGCCCGCACCTTGCATATTTGCACGAAATGCCGGCGTTCAGCCTCGTTAACTTTATCGGCAAATCTCGAATATCGGGTCCAGTTTGTTGTAACACATCGTGGCGAACGCGTCGTCCTCTCGAATCGATTCACGCGGTTCGCGACTCGTCGTGTCGTTCGTGCGAATTAATTCGCGATTTTTGCTCGTGATTTTGGAGAAAAATTTTATCGAAAAGTCGAATATCGTTTCTGTCACGATATATGAAAACTTTGCGCATTTAGAATCGATCGCCTTGAACAGACTCGAAGTGACTTTTGTTTTAGAATTTTGTTGATTTCTGCAACGTAGATAAGGTAGAGTATAAATGTATAAATATATGTTGCACGTTTATATTCATGATTAAGACGTTTTTATATTTATTATTTTAAATATAGGATAATTTTATTTAATAATAATTTTATAGATCAATTTAGCAATCTACTACTATTTGACTAAATCAGTTTGACTGTTAAGGCTCATAAATATAAGTAAATGATGGCACGCGATGCCCACGTGAGTACGAAATGAAAATGATCGAATTGATAATAATTCGGACGAGGCGATGATTTGACGATGATTATCTCATCGCGATTGAAGCGACGTAAAGAGCCAAGTAATATTCACATGCGTTACGTGCTGCAACTCGGTATTCGAGAATCTTTTTTGATAATCTATTATTGATAACTGATAAGTAAAATATTTTTTGATACTAAATAGTTTTAAACATTCTTTCCTTTTTTCCTTTCCTTTCAACAAACAAACATTCTGATAAATCTGCATTCTGTAACTGATTACGAGATTTATTACTAGCTCTAACCAAATAAATTATCACAATACATATTGATAAATTATCACAAGATGATAGTACATAAAAACATGATGATTGAAGGTTTTCTAAAAGGAAGATAACGTGAGAATTTGGGAAATATTATATATATATATCGCCTATTTCGTCTTGAACGAAGATCCGTCTTGCACACAAAAGTTAACTCTCGAAGCAGAAACATCTCATTCACTCGTCAAGTGTATCGTGTTTAAAAATAAAAGTTCAAGCTCAAGACAATTTTTCTTTTGATTTTATTCCTTAATATTACGTCGCACGTAAGAATGCACATTTATTGACATTCTGTCGACAGATCGGCGGTGCGGTAGCCATGTCATCGCCGGATCGGCACGGCGGATCATCACGAGAAATCGGCGTGAAGCCGGGAGAGAGTCATCATCATCATCATCATCATCATCATCATTATTATCATCGGCCCGGTATATTTAGGACGACTGAGTGACGCCGACAGCCGAGGAATCGGTAATCGAAGGATCGATACGAGCGGATCGATCCAGCAGCTTGTAACCTACGGCCTCCTTGCTGGCCTGGCCAGCTACTATGCGAATTGAAGCTCTCAGCACCCTCGTCGCGGTAAGTCCTAATAAGATAAACGTTTAGCGGATTGTCACTTTTGCCTGCAAAGCTGCATCCGATAGATAAATCGTGCAAAGATACGAGTAATTTATTAGAAATTAAAAAGAAAAATTTAAGGAACAATAGAATGTTGAAATTCGCTGTATCAATTTGAGATTGTACAATTGTCTCGCTAAATTCTTTTTCGGAGAGGATAAATCAAAACTTTCTTGACACTTGGAGTGTTAACAGTAGCTTCTTCACGGATACCTCTTATAATAAAATCCCTTACCATATGCCTGTTGCGTGGCGGAGTGCATGAGGTCTCTCGTAATTATAATTGCGCACGAGCCCCCCCCCCGTACGATTGACGCAAGAATCGAGGAGCGTGCACGTCCCTGGCGTTGCATTGTGCTGGACGAAGCGAGCAGCGAAACAATAATTACAGTGTCCAGCAACGACGTAACGATCGTAAAGTACCGCCCGCCGCGTGCTTTATTAGCATATTATCGAGGTAGCACACACACACGCACGCACACACACACACACACACACACACACACACACACACACACACACACACACACACACACACACACACACACACACGACGACGACGACACG